AATAACCAACTTGACTCATTAGGTCAAAGGATGCTGCTGCAGGTCAAATGCAAATGCATCATGGCGGAAAGTGATTTTCATCGAGAGTTTGCGTACGATCCAACACCTTCGTCAGTGGAGATAATATGACAATTTTGACTTCGACTGTGTTCCAACAGACTCAAATGTTTTTAATTTCATAAATTCTGGTGGTACGTAATTAATGTTGTAATAAAATGTGCATATTTGTTGTGATCATTTTTGTTTCTTCCTTGTGAAAATCAATGACGACTCAACTAATTTCGTAATTTGATTTTCCCTCGAAGACGTAATCTGTCACTTGATGAATAAAATTTTTCATTTGCACTCTTTTTCGAGGGGGGTGCTCGGGTAAGCACCCACCCCTAAAAAATCGTGATTTTCTGAGTTGAGGCCCCTGGGCGCTAACGCGGTCGAGTACGGTAATAAACATTTAAAACATGAGCAATTTTACTAATGATCCATAAAAACAGTCTGTTTTGAATAAAACAAAACCCTTCATTCCAATCCAGTGGCAAGCACAAGTGACTGTAAAAATAGATGCTACTCTGAGGACCAGTCATAAAAAAGCAACCTAAACCACAGCATATCTCACCTGTATTGATGTTAATATTGCTGAAACATCATAAGTGGGGCTCCAACGGTTTTGGAGAATATCCAAACATATGCTACCATCTGCATAAACTATAAACAAGAAAAGACTTATCAGCTGTTGATTCTGTGATGCCAGCCAGAGACCAAAAACAGATTCAGTGACACAAAGAGAAGGAATGCAAGGACATTCAAAATGTGAAGGTCAGTCACACTGTGCTGAAGAATTACAGTTGTAACCAACTTTTGCACAAGTCAAATTTTCACAAAATTTTGGAGCAGTTCAAACTCTGCATCAATGAATTTCGCAAAATTTTTGTTCTTACAAATGCTGTAAAATTCTGAAATAAATTCTTAGCTGTGAATCGGTTTACCATAAATCGGCAAATTGTACAATGTAAACTGTAGCAAATGTACAAACATGAAGTATGTGTATCTAGAATACAACACAATACTGTAAAATACATTGAAATAGCTACATGCAATTTTAGCAAATTTGACCATGAGAATATATTTTAATTTTAAATTAGCAACTTCTTGAAAATTATAGATTAGCTAAAAATAACATGATGATGTTTTACAATATGAAATGAAATGAGAAGGGATTTATGTGTCTATTTGAGCAACATTGTTGTACTGATTTGTTAAGTAAAAGAATTAATAGAATAAAAATGCAAATAATAGTTTGAGTATTTTTCTGTGATTTATAAATTGATTTATTTCTTCAACCAGCAATAAATAAAATATGTGTTGGATTCACATGCAACTTACCATTTGGATGAAACATTTTAGAAATAAACCTAACTGTAGGTGGTTTATTAGGATATTCTTCTGTAAATTCTATCTGTAATTTAAAAGTACCTATAAGGAGAAGAAGACAAATTTTCAATAAAGATCCCAATAGTTGTCAATGTAGGCTTTGACTGAACAAGAAAATAACTGCCCTATTTTTATAATATTGTTATTGATTTAATGCATAAAAAGTACATTAAAAGATTTATTATTCTAGTATTAAGTTTGTAAAGGCTTTAATATTAAACATCCACTGTGGACTATTGTATTTGCTCTATTAGTTGCACAAGAGCTTAAACAAATGAGATGCATCAACAGACAGACAGACACAAACAAAACCTTAGTTAATACTCTGATTTTCAACTTTATCCAAAATGGAGACTTAAAATGTGTATTCCTAAATTTTGATGCATTACTTTAAATTATACTTTCAAAAAAGTACTAAAACATTGAAATTACATATATAATTAGTTTGCCTGTGTGATTGCTGACTTGCTAAATAAGTTGGTAAATAGCCAAGAAAAAAATTGCAGGAATAGTAATATAATTAGCCAGCATGACTAAAACTATTTCACTCTTAGCAGGAAGACCAGGATGACATTATGTTCCTGATAATAGAAAGTGAATACTGTAAAAGCACTAATTTTCACTGGGTTTAAATTTCACTGATTTACCATTTCAGGCATATTCAGTGGGTTTTAAATTCACGGTTTTGTTATTTAGATAATGTGTTTTATGCTAAATTTTACATATTCACTGGGTTTTAATTTAGCGCATTTTTCCATTCAGCAAAATAAGCTAAATTAAAACCCAGT